TGAATATTTTGTGAGAAATATTGATGTTTGTTGATGGTCACTTCGGGACTCTGATGAGCATAACTAGTATAAGGACAGAAAATCTCTGCGAGATGTAATATCTGAACGACACCATGTTTAAATTCGGTATCCCTAATATGTTTTGAGCTGCTATCAAGCCTTGGAAAACGAAAAAAAAAATCCAATCCGATAGTGTAATATATTTGATGTAACATATCATCATAGCTACGAGTGCAAGATGGCCTGATCAAAATAGCTCTCTTTCCCAACTCTTCTTTTGAGGCACCATTATTGTGATATCAAAATTTGTCTGTCTATATTAGTAATACATGTATTACGTTGCACACTGACATAACAAGATTATGAGGACAGTAGTTTCTTGAGAATTCGAGAATCTTATTAAATAAGAGTCATTTTGTTCTGTGCAAACCTCTGGTTACATTTTTGTCATCACAGTTATGAGCATCAGAAGAGAATACTATGGACAATCCTAGGAAGTTATACTTTTTAATCGTGATTTATCGTAGTTCTGCGGCACAAATTGGCCTCAATGCCCTGTAACGCTCTCCATTAAAACATGTATTTTTGTCCCTGTACTTCTTGGAATTCGCATGTCTAAGGTGATGTAACTTAGTGCTTTGCCGTCAACGCAAAACGTGTTTTTTGACAAGAAGAATCTCCGTACTTGTCCATTACTGCATAAATCACTTCAAAACTCCAAATCAGGACACATTTTACATTCCCCTGTCACTCCATACACACAGACAACCACCAAAAATCTGACGCTCATAACTCTGATGACGTAAACCATGACATCGAAATTATATTTTTGCTACTGTTCATTTTTCTCCTGTGCTCAAATGCCGTGTCGTGTGAGTCAGCTGAAAGGAGCTTGCTTCGGTTACTGCTACAGGCCAAAAATAGTAGTCACGTGCAACAAAGTACCTACAATGTTAATTGGTCATCTGACGCTCCTAACATGATGTCGCCGTGCTTCGATTTCTTTAAAAGTATCTTTCGGGAAATGATAACATTGTGCGTCCGGCTTATGGTTCCCGGTACGGGTAACGAGCCTGGGTCTTGTGCAATTGACACAGGGGGACATAGTAGTTGAGTGAGGACAGCATTGTATGAATGTTACTTCCTTGTCTACAGGAAGAAAGCCCTCGCGAGATTTCCACTGTAGTAAACCCAAGGAGTTTAGTTCTAAACTCCTTGAGTAAACCTAGCATCTGCGTTTGTCGCGGCCGCGCGGGCCGTGATTTTTGCATTAAAAAACAAACAAACAAAAACAAAGCTACTTCATAACATATTAGATATGTACTTTGATCAGTTTTAAGATGTCCATGTGTATCTATTTTCATGCGGAGATTTTATGAACATTACCTACTGTTTATATTGCTGTCGGACTTTTATTTTTATTTTTCCCTCTTTGTTGTGTTTTAATTTGTTGGTGTATTAATTTTTCTAAAAATTGTCCTGATGATTTGTTTTTCTTTTTTTGAGTTTATACAGCGTAATGTCATTTAATTTAATGCTGTTTCTACCCTTTAAAAAATATAAATGTCTTATGTTTAGAGCATGTTTCCACCAAAACCGAATACTGACACTGGCACGCCCCAATCGTGTGTGATTCCACAATTTACTTGTAATATCCTGTTGGCCAACTTTTTCTTGGATTACACATGTTTAGGGTTAAAACAGCCAATCTTCGGATAGGTGGACACGCGACCTTATTTGTTAATTTTTGTGGTTATTTATCCGTGCTGTTCTATTTTTCATTTAATTCTACTGTGAAATTTTTATTTTTCACGTTTTTACCTTGTGGGTGACTACAGTAAATGATATTCTGAATGCTTAAAACAGAGCACAAGAAATTCAGGTGCTTTAGATTGTAACCTCTATCAACATTATATTGCCATATACGTCGTCACAGAGAGTTGAAACTTGAACATTAATGACAACTTTTTGGGGGGTAACTTTTGCCACTTTTTGTGGCAACTTTTGGACCCCAAAAAAATGGCAACAAACGCAGATGCTAGGTAATCGAGTTTTGTTGCTCATAAAGCATGTCTAGACGTAATCAAAATGTACAGCCCTGTACGATGGCAACATTTATGCGCATCAGACACATTTACATGGCGAAGTATTTACTTGTATGCCTGAAATACGATGTGTTTAGACGTTCATGAGTTAAAGACTCCATACATAAATGCATGTTTAAAAGTAATGGCATTGTTTTCAGGCGACATACTGAAATATGCGCAAAATAGCTGCAAAATCCTTACATTCCATCCTTTTTGAAAGACACTATAAACAATGCGCAATACAAAAATTCTTTGCTTGTGCTGCAACTGCAGCTTATATAATATTAACAACATAATACGAGGTGGGTTCAATAAGTCTTTGGTATAAAACTATGAAGGAATAGAGATAGAGCTTTTTAACTTGGTGCACATACTTTTATTTCTCTACTTAGTCACAATGCAGAGTAACAGTAACGCATTTCTGCCACCTCTCTTTGACCTTCTAAAGTCCTTGAGAGAAAAAATGGCCGCTGACAAGTCTACAACAGCTTCAATGGCGTCCTCCTCCTCGTGGAAACATCCTTCACTTCGAGTGATTTTTAAAAAGATTAGGAAACGGTAAAACGTCTTAGGGGGCTAGGTCTGGTGAATAAGCTGGGTGTGACAGGATTTCAAAGCCTCACTGTTCTGCTGTCTGGACTGCTTGTTGTGTTGTCATACAGTAGGAGGACCCCATTACGGAGTTTTCCTGGCCTTTCGTCACTAATCCGGACCGCAATCTTACTTGCAAACCCGAGTAGTAGCCTCCTGTGACTGTTTTTCCATTTTCCAGGTAATCAGTCATGATGATACCTTCACAATTCCAGAAACGCAACAGTATGAACTTTCCACTTTATGGTGTTACCTTAGCCTTCTTTGGTGAGGGAGGTGTTTTCCACTGCATGGAGGACATGTTTTGTTCTGGATCAAAGGATAAATCCATGTTTCATGCATAGTCGCTATGTTTTTAAAGAATTTTGTGTCATTTGACTCAAAACCCTCTGCTTCGTTTGTTCACAAGTCAGAAGGCAGGGTATCCGCCGTGCAGACACCTTTTTCACATAAAGTAGTGCTGGGCGGCTAGGTTCCCGATTATTGACAGCTAGGAATCGTACAAATCGACTCCGAACCCAATTACTTACTTTCTAATTATGTAATTTTTTTTCCCGTGGTTACCTGGTTGGCTCCAAACATTTTCAGGATTTCGGATGACCTTGATTTCGGAACACTACGAAACATCAACTTCAATTTTTATTATTAGTAGATCTCTACACTCATTCTTTTCCACATTGTGAGTTGTCTACCATTATCTAAATCATGTTGTTTTTTTATGTCCAACTATGTTTCCATATGTACCGATTTGCTGCATGTCTGAATTTTAACCATGCACAATGACATTGAATTAAAATGTGCGTATTTTTAGAAGAGATTTTTTTTTTATTCTTTTTTTTTTTTTTGGGGGGGGGGGGGGGGGGGTTAATTCTTCTAGATTGCGCAAGCGTTTGCCTTACTTCTTTTATTGTACCGCGTTCAGTATCTCCTATAAAATGCAATTTATTAACTCTTTATCTCTTAGGGGGGGGGGGGGGGGGGTAAACCCACTATGCCAGGGCCCTTTTGGGTCAGCTGTGGGAGAGGCTGATGGATAGAGACTTCACAATGTGCTCACTCATCCGCGGCTGAACAGTTCTTATTATTGGAAGGTAAACTTGGGTAAACTATGGGAGGAACCAAAAACCTCGCTTACTTGCTAGTTAGAGAGCGGTTCATTTGTAGGAGGGGCTAACAATTACATGAATATAATGGATTATGACAGCTCATCCACAGTGTTAGGGGCCGATATATATAATTTATGAAAACGAGTCGGGCGATGAGAGACGTGTGATCATCTTACAGCTGTTTTGGACAGTGCCATTGAATAGAAAAAAACGCAAGAGAAGTAAAAGTGGCAATTTATACACGTGGCTGTCTTGGACAATTGTCCATTATGGCAGGTTCAGCTGTATTTAAAATAAGAGTAAAAATAACGGAAAAGGAAGAAAAATTTTTTTGACAAAAGGGTCTGTTAAGAATGAGTTTCTAAAAAATTACCAAATTATTTTTTTCCTTGAAAAATTTCTCAACATCTCAAGTCAGTAGCTCACTGGTTAGGCTCTCAGACTTGCAATCATTAGTCGTGGGTTCGAATCCCATCAAAGAGCTGATGAAGTGTCCTTGGGAAAGGCACTTTTTATGACTCTCTTCGCCCAGGTGGGAATGGGTTCCCCGCTATGGACAGCGAAAGATCTGGTCAGTTTGTTCGTACTGCTTGCCCTATATATACTTCCCAGGAAGATAAGAATGTTTCCAATAGTGTTCTAGGGTCTGCTGGGGTAATAATAATGTATAAAGCACATTCTTAACTCAATGACCATGCAATTTAAAATCATGTTTCCGCGCAATTCTCTCGTGTTTGTGGAAATGTCACACAACATATTACATTTTTTAAACCGTTTGTTTCGTGTCAAACTGATCAATAAAGCATTACCAGACGTAGAATTCATTTATCTTTGACTTCCGAGTCAAACTAAAGGCTTGTTAGCTCGTACTTTTTTATATTTGGCATGTACCATAATAAATAAAAACATTACATCGCACGGTGGAACCGTCCAGCCATGGTTAAAGTTAAAGAGTCAAGCATGTGCTTTTAGCAAAAACTAGTGTAACGATGTAGCATGAGTTTTAGCTTTTAGTTAGCATTTTACAGCACATGCAGCACTATAAGGTCATATGAGTGCTGAAGATCAGAAGTGTTACAAGAGAATAACAAACACAAGAAAGAAGGAGATATAAGGACAATAAATATTTGATAGGAAAGAAGGAGCAAACCGCACCAGAGCACCCGCCAACCACCCATGTAGCATGAGTGGTAGAGCAAAGCAACAGCACAAATTGTGACCATTCGTACTGGTTTGAAAGCCAGGATTTATTTACAATGTACATATCAAGTGGGCATTCAAAAAGGATTCAGCTCTGTGCTCACAAAGTCATTCTAAAAAAAAGAAGCTCTAGAATCCCCTCTTCAATATAAACAAACACAGTCTTCCATTGAAGGCATCTTAACAGTTCATACGAAAAAAACCCAGTGCCTTCCACAGAAAAAACAATGACCAAATAACATAATACAAGAGTATTTTAATGAAAACCATTTATTCAAAACAAAACAAATTTCACAAGCTCACGGGTGTTTTTATCAGGAAATGAAGGCTGTTCACTACAACAACCAAAAGTGTAACATTGTGTTCACAAACCACTGACAGAAATGACTTGCAGTTTTCCAGAACAGATCATAAAGGATTACGAAAAGCACAGAACATCTTTTATCATACACTCAACAATGTCATACTAATAAGCATCCCCTGAAATCATCCTCTTTATCATGCACTTTCAGTCACTGCCAGTCTATTTCAAAATCTTGTTCACAACAGCGTGGTGAAGAGACTGGACTTGGGAAGTCCACTTATCGATGGCATTGTACCGGGCAGTCCCTCTCGACTCTCTGTCCAATTCTAGCACTTGATTAACTTGGTCTATTCTTCCATTCACAGAACTGGGGGGGAGAAAAGAGAAATAAAACAAACATAATTGATAATTGCAACAACAACAGAAATAGCCTTACCCACTCTTTCCGCAAAATAGTCACATTTGCTCTACCAGCCATTTGTACAAAAGTACAAACGGCCACTTCCCGTTTCTCCCCATGCGTTTTTGTACCATTATAATGACACTGTGTAAGATGGCCACTTTTCTCTTTGACAATGGGCAGTCGTCTTGGACAACTTCAAATGTAGTCACAAGTACGAATAAAAAACTGAATCAAATTCGAAGGAAAAATTGACAAATGCCTATAATGAATTCAGGCTCAAAAAAGGTCGGAGCCAGTAACAGAGCTACCTGAGGCTGGTAAACCCGCTGAACAAACTGGTTCTCAAAACTACAGCACTAGCGCATAATAGGCGAGGCATTGTGATGAAATCAGGCGCTCGTCAAAATAATGAAATCAACTAAATTGGTAGTTTTCTGGCCATTAGGCACTGGGTTTTTTAAAAACATTTTTGGGGGGTTTCAGAAAGACATTTCTCTGTGGATTCTACTAACAAACATTGATCAAAGGCACTAAAAACGATAAGTTGCAGTTTTCAAGGACACTGAAACTCTGGAAGTTACCAAACTTTGGCAGTCAATTTCTCACTAATTTTACCTCTGCACTAGGCAACCCCAACCATTCAATCATAAATATCTCAGTCTTTTCAAGGCAGATGGGTATTTTTTAAAAACAAGACCAAGATAAATGAGCAAGCTTTAGGATGATACTAATAAGTCATGTAAAAAATTGGTGAGTGCCTGATTCCACTGAGTTGTAACGCATAACAGAGCTGGGGAAGTTCTGTTGGGCACAAATAATATGGACATGGAATACTTGAAATCATAGATAAAACGTACAATTTGCCATTCCCTAACAGATATTTCTTAAACTTTTTATTCCTGGTTAACCGGAAATATGGATGTGCCACACACATTTGTCAATTCCCAACTTATCTGAGTTATCCGTGCCCAACTGTAAATAGTAAAGCAAGTTAAGTTATAGTAACGCAAATCGACACATTTCCTATAATTATTGTTATTGTTGCCTTCGAAATGGCAGTTGGTGGGTTTTTGCTTTTTACCCCTGCCACACAGTAGAATCTTCAAGTGCCGCTTAACAATTAATTTGTTCCGTTTCGTCAGCTCACTGCTGGAATGTACAAAGCCCAAAATTTTGACACTTTTCTTATTGCAGTGTCTTAATCTGTGCGTATCAGTTGAACGTGCTCAAGAAATTTGTCAAACTTCAATTTTTAAATGTTGAAAAAGCAAGAAAAGAATTTTTTTTAAACAACTGCTGAAAGCAAAAGTTTTTTCTCTCTCTTAAAAATTTTTACTTTCTGGGCTAAGAACATTGGAACAATTTGCCGACGATGAAAAGTGTTGTCTTTGTCTAGCTGAGAGGGGTAATGCTGAGGTAAAAGCAAATTTTTCAAAACCGCAATTAGGGACACCCAATGTAATAGTGAACAAAAGTACGTCAAATAGGACTGGTGTGGGCGTAGTGTATATGATATGGCTCTCAAATTCCTGATGTGCCGAATCCAGGATAGTCCAAAGAAATTCAGGACAGCTGGAAAGCCTGAAGCAAAGTGTAGCCCACTAATTCAAATCCTTTGACCTAGAGTGCCCCATCCGAGGTCACAACGGGGTTGTAGCGATGCCATGCAGGAACAGGAGACAGCGGGCTGTGATTGTCATGACGCACAAAGACATGTAAAGGAGTACTTTACTTATACAGAAGCCGATTCATCCCTGTTGTCTCTTAAGACAAAAAGAAATGAATAAGGTACCTACTACAAAGCATATGTGTAAAACCTAACACAAGACATCATTTATCTTACCTGTCAAGAATACAAGACACCAGTAAGTTTTCAACCTCCAAAGCATCGATGTTGAGCTCCTGAAAAAAAAAAAGGCAAAGCTCAAGTCCTGCTAGGTTGTCAACAAAAGTCAACATCTTTTTGAGTTATTGCAGGAACCATTATTTATCTAACGTAACAAGGGCCAAAAAGTTCACAGAAGGTATCACAAACTAAGATCCAAAGTTCATATGGTCGCTTTTAAGGACAAGCGGGCTAACCCCAGATATCGAGGGTTTCCAAAAATCTTGACCTACACCAAAAGTGGGAATTGCCTTACCTATTGTATATTTGTTTGGTTATAGAGAAAACTCTCCTAGTCTTGTACAGAAACTAAACCAGAGGCAAAAACTTTACATTCGATTTTCTCAAAACAGCATTTTTCGGGATAGCCCCCTTGTTCTTAAAAGCGACCATATATGTAATCGTAAGCAATGCAGGAAACAGTGGCTTCACAAACAATAGTCTAATTTATCTTGGGAATAATACATCACAACCTGGCCTAGAATAGGTGGCTCCATTGTTTAAAATTATGCTAAAGTTTCTGAAATATGCATTTCCTTCATTAAATTCCAACATTAACACTTCTCATGTTTTAGGTCTGCTTCCGATTTGAATCAGCTTGTTGACATTCAAAGTGCACGACGGAAATTCTCAACCTTTTCTTTTTGCCAAAACTGCAAGTAAATCTGTTATTTTATGGCAGAGAAAACGAAACTTGAATGATCCTATCTAAAAAAAAATTTTAAACTTCAAAATTGGGTGTGGAGTGTGCAAAAATAGACTGTTGGGGTTCTTTTTGAGTCTGAAAAACATACTTCTTAAAGGTATCAAAAATGATTGTACAATTATTCTAAAATGAACACCTGTAGGTTTTAAGTAATTTTTACTCCTAAACAACAACAATCAATAAGGAAAAACACAAAAAACGGCAAGGTCAATTTTAGGTTTGCTCGTGCCTCGCGACACTTTCGATGGAGCTCAGGTTCACTTTGGAATACCTTTTCACAGCTTTGAAAATGGGACACACACACGAAATGAATACAGTTTAGAAGAACTTACCCTGGAAATGAACGGTATGTGTATCCGGGTATAAGGCTTGATAAGTTTAATCAGAACCTGAGTGCGGATGTTTCGCAGTAAATCTGCAATACAAAAGGGAAAACAAAAATCTATTTAGTCAACAAACTCCACTACAAAATACAGTGCCCACCAAATCTGAAATATGAGAAAGGGGCTGGTATGTTTTTTATCATTCCTAAAATCCTCATCCAGAGGGCAATTTTTTCTTTTTGTCACCCCCCCCCCCCCCCCCCCCCCCCCAAAAAAAAAAAACCACGCACACAAAAACCCAACGGCATCTACACAGTAAAACACATTATCTTCCCAATTGTTGTCTATCTAGGACAATAACATGCGAGACTGAATCCACCAATTAGACAACATTAGAAAAATAACATCATTTTTCTTTTCATCAGTGTTGTCATTATTACCAACATCATATTCTTCATTCTCATCACCATCATCACTTTCATCCTTATTTGCTGCCAAGAAGGTGACTGAAAGAGTCCAAAAAATAAACACTATGTAACTTAAACTTTCCAAAAACAAATAGTAAAAAAATGTAAACCGCTGTTCTTCAGATTTGGAGACAAACAGCCTGCTATGCCTTAGCTTCTACCATATCAATAACACTATCTTTTTTATATTTCATACTTCTACTTCCACTAATCTTCCTACTCCTCCTCCTATTTCTCAATACTAACTTACAATGACAGTAAAATGGAATTTAATAAACTTTGAGAGAAGCCACACAAATCTGCATAAAATGAGTACATATTATACATGCAGTAGATTTGATCTAAAATGAAGCAGTTTAGCATGAAAACTCCAATTACCTCAAAAAAGATTTCAAATCCTCCCCCCCCCCCTACCTCTTTTCACTCTATATTCTAGGAAATGCAACTTCCCTTGACACAAACAAATTCTCGCATCCCTTTGAAGTTTGCATTTTTAGGGTTTTGCTGTAATTTCTAATTACCAACCATAGTCTATACATTAGGGAACTGACAAGAGACAGAAAAACAGAGGGCGGTGGTGGGGGGAAAGAGTTGAAAATGCAAACATGGAGAATCGACTAACCAAACTTGCCAATTCAGTAACCATTATGTACCTTCTATATGCTCCCGAATGAAAGGATCCTCCATTATGTTTTGCCTGTTTGTCTTCAAAATTTTCTCGAAGTCGTTGATGTCATTGTTCTGATATGCACTGGGGGATGGAAACAGAAATAAATACATATTATTTTACACAATGTCTGAGAGTGGACCAAAAGTTGTGTATGGAAAACCTAGGAATAACTGCTCACATTATGCACCAGGACTTAATACCTCTTTAACACTTCCCTTGCCCACAGGTTTTTCTAATTCAATTCCCTGAGCGTGCTGCCCAATTCCTTGGAACCACAACATTTTGAAACGTTTTAAAGAGGATCTTGTGAAGCCAATTTTTATGCCACTGGCATAAATTGGGTATCACTAAAAAGGGAATTGAGCGAAGAATCTACATCAATACTACCAGCAACAGTCTAGGTCTGGATCAACAAAACTTAGAGCTGGTTGATCCAGTTTCACTAGTAGGCCTGAGTCCAACTCTGAGTCTGGTTTGAGGGGTGGTGTATTTGAATCACAATTATAGTTCTGTTTCTTTTAGAGTCAAAGGCAGATTACCAAAATATTCAGAAAATACTAAATATTATTACTGGGAGCAGCATCCCTTCGTGCATCTTCTCACTTTCTGTGAATCGTGATCGCAATCTTGCTGAACAAGTATATACACTTGTTCTACAAGAAAAACTTGAATGCCTTAATGTAAAATTATGTTCCTTCCGCAAAAAAAGGTAAAGCAGCCCAACATGTATACGTGCATTCCGCAAGGAGAGTGTCAAAAGTGTTTAAATAGGACAAAACAACAGATGTTCAGACAGTGGAATGGTCAATTTTAGTTTTATTTTAGTTTTAGTAGAGGCTCGCAACTGCAAGAGGTCATATGAGCACCAGAAGATTAGAGGTGTTACAAGGGAGTAACAAACACAAAAAAGAAGGAGGGGAGATAAAGACGATAGCTGTTTGATAGGAAAGAAGAGGAATGGTCCATGCTTGTTCATTTTTCATCAAAATTAAAATTTGAATGTCCCTTTTTGCTACCACCTCTACTCCACTTATACAATTCAAACATGTCCTGATAATCACTCACACATATCAAGCAAGAGCCATACCTGACTAAATTTGTCATTGCCAAAATTTCAGGATCATTCTTGTAAGGCTTTGTTTCCTGGGAGTCAAATGGGTTTATTCCAGACTTCATCAACATATTGGCCAAAACCAAATACTTGAGACAAGTGGTCCGTCTGCAGAAGAAAACAATAAGCATACAGGCAAAAATTGTCAAAATCAAAAAGACAAAAAACTACCAGACAGCTGAGACACAATCATGTTCACTTCTTATTTCTCGCCCTCTCTCCATCCCTCCACATAACTCATTAAACATTAAAATGCAGGCATAAAAAAAAAATCAACTGTCCTTGGAGTGGATTACTTTTTTTTCATTTAATCATTGTATCAGTTTTTCTTTTAGCTGAATTATTTATATTTATTTGATCAACAGTAACCAACATTAGAAAACACCAACAAAGGTCTTCCTAACCCTGCCTAAAACAACAAGACAAAGAAACTCCCCAAAGTAACTAACAGCCACTCAAAGAAAGGAAAAGTCCTTTGCAGACATAGACACAACATCACTGAATGGTAAACATCAGGCATACCCAACTTCAGACTGCTATTGGAAACAGACACCCTGTAAAATATATTGTACCAGTGTCCATGGTGAAGAAGTTAGGCCCTTCCCCCATCCCACATAGAAGAACTGAAGTCGATTCCCCCTTGACCAGAACTTTTACTGAGTATATCTTATCTTTTAGTTTTAGTAGAGCTTTTACGGCGCCAGAAGATTCGAAATGTTACAAGACAGTAACAAACACAAAAAAGAAAAAGGGGAGATAAGGACGATAGATGTTTGATAGGAAAAAAAGAATCAAACCACACCAGAGCACCCGTCAACCACCCACATATCTTATCTTTCTCTTATCTTTCTGCTAGGAGGATGTTGCACCCCTCGCAGCCCAATTTGGCCCTAAAAGGAAGAGTTGCAGCCCACCTTCTAAATGATCTAAATTGTGTCCATAGGGGAATAAAACTCCTACATTTCATTTTTAAAATGTATTGTCAGACAAAGTAATTTATCCCAAGATCTGTATTCTCTACAAAAAAAAAGAGCGGAAGCCTCTCGGATAAAGAGGCGCTGAGGGATTCAGTGAAATAAGTTCAAAAGGGCACACATAGATGGTGCGGCGAAATGCATGAGCACTACATTGCGTGTCATTCGGATACATTCAAAGCCAGATTTATTCAAAAGAAAGCAGTGACATACCCATATCAAACCAATTGTCTTCAACAAAACAAACAAACAAAATTACACAACAAACAACCACAGAGTAAAGAAGAGATAATACTAAATCATGTACAAACCTTGGACTTCCTGACTCATCATAGTTTTTGAAAGCTTCAAAGAAATCTGTGTGGGCCTTCTCATACTCCCCTTCACGAAGATGCATTTTGCCTCCACATTCTGAGGAATCAAATAAAATACAAAGGCATAAATACAAAAGCAGAGAAAAGATGCTTCTGGTCATTTGTTTGAATAAAGATTTTAGTTTTAGTAGAGGTTTTACGGCTCCAGCAACTACAACTGCATAAGGTCATATGAGAGCCAGAAGATTTGAGGTGTTACAAGAGAGTAACAAACATAAAAAAGAAGGGGAAAAAAGGACGATAGATGTTTCATAGGAAAGACGAAGCAAACCACACCAGAGCACCCACCAACAACTCACTTGAATAAAGAGAAACATACGGACACAATAATGAATAAAGAGAAACACATTGGCACAATAACAGTCATTTTCTGTTGGGAAAAAAATAAGATAGACTAAGGGGAAAAAAAAAAATAGGACCAACTAATGGTGCTTTCAAATCAAAAAGACAAATTCATGTAGCAGAAAGAAAGACTTCTGCAGTGTAAGAAAAGAGTTAAACACACCATGCACACACACACACACACATACACACACACACACAGAGAAACTAGATCCAAATAAAATTATCTTAACTCTTAGTAGGAGGTCAAAATTCACATGCGTTGACACTTGCAGAATGCTGACAAGATTTATTTTTTTAACTGCTGCATTTAGCACGTTTATGCCATTTTCCAAAGTCTTGTATCAAATAAAAATAAATTAAAACTGATTACGATTATTTCAGAACAATCTATGGGGTACTGAAGTAGACATGCACAAACGCAAATTGGCCCAGATGAGCAAAACAAAATTTATTTGAGGCTTTGATCACTCTCAGATGCACTATTTTTCTCTGTTTACAAACACAATCCTTTGGAAAAGTTGTCTTAAAATTTTTCACTCAAATTGGACTTTATTATTAAGAAGCGCTCTTGGTTTGGGCAGGTTCCATTTCTTTTCTGGTATCAGGAATGAACCCTGCAAATCATCAGGTCTTGCCCGAGTACCTAGAACTTAGAACACTGATTCATCAAAATTTTGAGCACTCTAAGACAAGTTCCAAACATAGTAAGCTAGGTTTCAACAAGTGAATAAATACTAAGGGCTCCATTGCGAAACAACTCTTAACATCACCATAATAAAGTCGCTATGTGTCTTACAGGAACAGGAACAAGTTGGCAGTGACCTCAGATGTGCACAAAGACATGGTGGATTATACTTTACTTTTACCAGAACCAAGACAAACGTAATTTTCAACACTCACCTCTGATGACGCCCATGATGAGAGGATGTGGAATGGCAGACTTTATGTGCAAGGACTGCTCATACAAGGCCTAGAAAAGTGATAACAAAAGAAAAAGGTAAATTATTTAGTGACAGTATTACTCACACACTTTGTCTGCGAAAAACCATACAATAATATGAGCTTTTTATATTTTTCATTTAAGCAGGACTCAGTTGGACTTCATGAATGTCACTGGTCAAAGAACATAAAATTTCAAGGTTTTTAACCACGCAAGCAGGGAGAACAAATGTAACTAAAAATAGCTAACCCCCGCCTTTAATTTTTATAGCACTTGCAACACAATAAGGTCGTATAAGTGCAGAAGATTAGAGGTGTTACAAGAGAGTAACAAACACAAAAAAAGAGGGTAGATAAAGACGGTAGATGTTTGATAAGAAAGAAGAAGCAAACCACACCATAGCACCCTCCAACCACCCGTACAAAAATTCAGCATGAAATTAGTTACAACATCCTGCTCTGTTTTCTTCAGTAATGCTTTTATTTCCAAAATGCCCCAATTCTATGTTGAGTTACACTATGCTTCACATGCACTCATTTCACAGCTGTTCATTGCTCACTGTCAGCACACACACACTCATATATACAAATGCCTTGAAATACATGGGGGGGGTTTTTTAGTTCAAGTTTTAAGCCATTTGAAATACAATTAAGTCATATAAGTGTTGAAAATTAGATAGAAACGTACAAATAAAAGAAAGAGAGATACAGTTAATAGATGTCTGAAAGGAAAGGAGGAATAAACCACACCCACAGCACTCATCAACCACCAGCAGACACACCCCAAGCGCAACACTCAGAACATATACTCTAAACTGAGACAGAGAACAGAAAACCAACAGTGAGCGTTCAGGGCTGCTGTGTTCTAAAAAGAAGTACCAACCTTTAACTTCTTGTTATTTTTCTGAGCTGTGTACATCTGAATTTCCAAAGCATAGATCTCCAACAACTGAGTCCCCTTTTTCAGATCATCTGCGCCATCATCTGTCTGTGAGGGAAAATTTTCAGAAATAGCTAGTCATGCATTAGATAAGTTTGCAAGTTAGCAGGGGCTTAGTGATTATGATCCGTTTTATTTGTGTTTTCTTTTATAATAGAAAAAAAAGTAACGTTTTAAATTCTATGAAACTAAGTTTTTTTTCACATTTTCATGTAAAAAATGCCCCCAAAAAACCCAAACCCACATTATTTACAAAAGGACAATTGGTCGCTTTTAAGCACAAGGGGCCTTCCTGAAAAATGCTGTTCTGAAAAAAATCTAAGATACAGTTTTTGCCACATGTTTAGTTTCTTTAAAAGAAAATGACAGTTTTCTCTATAACTAAGCAAACAAATATACACACCAATGAAACCAAACTTCTCCTATAGGTAGGGGAAAGCCCACTTTTGGTGTAGGTCAAGATTTCTGGAAACCCCGGAAAATTGGGTCAGCCAGCTTGTCCTTAAAAGCGACCAGTTATTGATAAATGAAAATACGAGAATGACAGCATACAAGCCTCTGACTGGGGGCCACACCATAATATGTCCCCCCCTGAGCAAACAGAGATGAGAGTACCTGACAAGACTGATGGAGCTGTTTCAGAATGCGCTGCAGTCGTGGATAATCTCCCCTGTCGTAGTACAATTTGCCTAACTTTGTATTTGTCTTGAACCACAGGCGTTCGTTCTTTGCTTCTTTCAGGGCATCGAGCGTAGTCTCGTAGAAATCCTGGAGGAGTTCCATCTGCAAAACAGGCTTTACAAATTATAAAGATAGCACAGACTCTATCATGCGTAATGAGAAAAAAACCCATGCTGAACTACTGCTGTTACACTTTTTTGACAATGTTTCCAACATAATACAACAGTACTATTATCCGAACAATTTGCAGAGGGGAGGGAGGGAGGTACTCTTTTCACTTGAAACTCAGAAAACGCTTCTAAAAAAATATGCAAAGGTGTATGTTCAGACCAGCCACCATGTGTAAGACATAAAACTAATTAAATTTAACATTTAATTTTTGTGTAATTCCAGCTCAGAAGTATCATTTTTGTCTAAATTTAGTCAACAGCAGACATTCAGCATGCAACAGACTTCAATATTTCAAGAAGATCCATAGAATTGAAAACGCAATAGCATGCAGCACTTATATTTTGATGGGTTCCCCAGCACATGTTGGATATATATTATTTATATATTGGGTTTTGGCTTGCTACCTCTAGTTTGTTAAAGCACCCTCCATGCATTATCTCTTAAAATGTAAATTGATAAAGGTAGCAGCCAAAAGGACTCTGAGTAGCAAAAAGCTGTACTCTACTGACGTTTCTGAGCCCAACATTTCCATATTCATTTACCCATCAGGACTTTTCAGCTCTGTGACAATCCCTTTCGAATCATGATGATGTGTGAACTCGATGATTTTTAGATTTTTAAAGCCATATACAGACATAAAAAGACAGCTCCTGGTAAGTACTTGACCGCTTTACCAAATGATGGAAAAAAAAAAAAACAAACAAATTCATTAAACACAAAAATGACAAGGATCTATGGTGTAACTGAAAGGCTCCTCGTCTCATTAGTAACAGACATGAATTTGATTCCAAGGTTGGGATCGTATTTCATAGCTCATTCTCATTTTTCTGTGTATTCCACAAACCTGAGGTCCACCCAAATAGGCAAGCCCTAATCAACCGCTGTCGTAAATTTTCAAAAGTGAGTTGATAAGTGTGCAAAGCATTTGAAATTGTACATACAAAATACCAAACCTGTTTAGATGTAGAAATGTAATCCAGAATGGAGTTGATAGACTTCTCTGAATAGTTCCGTGTCACAGCAGACTTGATGTACGTTAGCAGTAACTTGTAACGCACCATCATTTCATCATAATTTCCCTGTAGAAATACAGACTCATAGTCAAGACTAGCTGTCCGTAATAGTCATAAACTACACTGACATTCTCAAACTCCATAGTTCTGATGTGAAGACAACAAATTTTAAGACTGGGTCTATATTAGACAAAACAGTTGATATTCTCACAACATTTATCTGCTCACTTAAATATCCTCCTTTGGCAGTGAAGAAGAGCTAATTGTGTAGTTCCTGTACATTCAAGAAGCATTTTCAGAAATATTTTTTTCAAGATCGTAACAATCACCATCTGTGGAGTTTCTCTTTATTGCCTTCAAAATCAAAATAGTCAAAATGATGGATTTCCAAAGAAACTTTTCTTTTTTCAAACCTTCCCTGCCTCATATCACCCTGCCTCAGCCAAGTGTCACTGAAAACTTAATAAAGACAGAAGTTTACTTCAACTATATAATTGTGAAAATTTTAAGTTATGTAATTCTTACACAAACTATTGCAGTGTCTGTTTCCTTTATCCTATTTATAATATTCAGTCACTTCAAATATTCCTTCAGGAATCAATACATGTACAAAATCAAGAGGTGTATTACTTTAAGAAGTCAGGCTTCATAAGAGAGCAAACGGAATTAATTTGGGAACCCCCGTGGCGACTCATTAATCAGAGGGACATATTGACCTCAATTTGAAGCAGTCTCGTACTACAGTCACAAAGAATGGAGTACATTCATATGAAAGTGGACTGCAGCAAGTAGTTTAACTTTAAAGCACATCTTTATTATTTTTCTAAAAAATTCAAATACAGCAAATGTACTGAGAGAAGAGAGTACAGTCCCTTTTTTCTTTCAGTTTGAATGAACTCAACCTGGAAAAGAAAAACGAACATAAATACTGAAAGACAGTATGAATTTTGATTTCAGCTGTTAACATATTACATATTTACCAAACGGAAGTTGATCTTGATCATTTGCTTGAGTGCCTTGAAGCCCCATTCTCCTTTTTCTTTTCCTTCCAGTTCCAGCACCTATGGTTCCAATAGAACAGAAAAAGGTTATAATTTAAAAAATAACAATGTTCAATATCTAATAATAACAATCATAATAATGATGATGGTAAAAATAATAACATTAATATGCTGCTTCTATAATGCCCACTCCCCATAAGGGCTCTAGGCACTTAATTATCAATAATAAAATTGTTAGATAATTGTAGTACGGCAGAACAACAAATACATTGGAACAAATATATTCTTGTGTTTTGCTTTTGCTCTGGCACTGTAATTTTAAAAATCTCATATTTGTTTATAAAATGACAAAGAATACAATAAAAGATATTAGAAGAACAAACCGTACATCAAAACATCACAACAATTAAATTTTATGTTACACATAAGCATATATAGGAAAAATTGAGTATAATAAGTATATGCTAGTACTACTAGATAAATACATGTCTCAAGAGTCCTCAGCTTTCCATTACCATGATCAGTGGATATTATCATTACCTTCTGAAAACTCTCAAGAGCTGCTTTCGGGTCATCTTCTTTCAGAGCTTTGGAATTGTAGTACTGATTTTCAAGGTCCACATCAGGTTCTGAATTACTTTCTTCTGAGTAAACCTAAGGGAATTAAGATGAGATTAGCTTATTTGACTTTGTTATGAAAAACATAAACAGGCCATGACAAAGGAGAAGCACTTGGCCCAGTGATGAGGGTAATTTAAAGACAGATGTAAAAAAAAATATTATGCACCAAAGTTCTGAACCACAAGTGACTCTCGGTTGTGTGTGGTGAAACCAGCATCTGGAAAATAAAGATTTATTTTTATCTATCTTAGATGTCCTGATCATAAATATTCATGTCATATAAATCCTACCAGCAGAGGAGCAGCACCTTGAAGCTTACACTTTTTTCAAATTTTTGCACTGGTAGTGCAAAAAAGGCAGTAGACTCGCTACAGCCGAGGGTAAACCCGGGAACATACTAATTTACTGCACTGTTGTTTTTTTTTTGTGTCAGCCCTATGTAACGCACCCATACACATGGGAAAAATTGGGGCATTCATTGAAGAAAAAATTTCCCAATATCTTTGGTGAGCCGAGTTTTGATTTAAAAAATTGAGCATTGCTTGGTTGCGAGTCTAAACACCTGCCGCACATTTGAACACAGTGCAGAATACACTTACATTAATTGTAGATAGGTTAAACTTTCACAAAGCAATTTTGTGAAATTCCACATTAAGTTGCATTTAAAAAATATGCCAACATCAGTCCTTGTTATTTTCAGGTGGCATGAAAGCCAGTGTAAGGGAAACAAAGCTGAATTCATTAACACTTACTCGTAAAATCACTGTGACAGGGTAGTTATTTTAATAAACTTGAATACCAAGGCAGGAAGGAACCCTACCTCTACTCATGAACTAGGACATAATGAAGGTTTCTTTCAATTTGTCATCGCAAATAATTGGGCTTTTAAAACTTCTATTCTGAATTTTAAAATGAAATGAAATTCAAGGTCACTGGATATATATTGCCTATTAAAGTATTATATAGTTCACCAAGCATAGACAGTTGTTTTGGCAGCAGAATGAAGTAATTAAGTCTATTTACAGGTAAATTTCCATAGGACCACAATTAAGCATAGAAGGCTACTTACTTCATAGTGCAAAGCAATTGATCATATATTTCAATACACACATCAGATCACCATAAATTATGTGTAGTGTAGCTTTTAAGGCACATTCATTTTCATCAATTTTTTTGGTATTCAACTTTCAAATACTCATTGATTGAAAGTGGTAAGACCATATCCCCCAAACCTGAACAACAACTCAATATAATGACCAAAACTCTAAAGGAGTCCTACGTCTATATCTCTTGATTTCTAATTAAGGTATATTTTTACTTTCACTCCCACACATAGATCACACTGCTTTAGAGGGTCAAACAAACAGCCCTATCTTTTGATGTAGAATACACAGAGAGTCATTAAAACTGTCACAAATCAAATATGTTCAAGAAAATTTAAAACTTAATTGCAAAACACCAAATTACAGGAAAGGCAGGGGGCATGCTCACCTCGGCCTCAGTAATAACCCCTCAGATTTTTTTTAACTTCAGGGAGGCATGCCCCCCCCCCGAATTGGTACACAGCATGGAAATTACTGCACAATTAGACTTAGTGTACTTGTTTTTGTATAAAAACTACCAAATATTTCAAAAACTATTAATCTGCGATGGATACAGGCCTAATGATAAAGTTAACCCTGGTCTTTCAGGGGCCGTATTTTATGCTCCCCAACAAGAAAATTTCGACAACCTCACTTTCAAATGGGAGCGGCATCAGTCCAGCCCTTATGCATGCAGAGCATCTCGTGGACTTGTATTACCGGAGCTCGTCTGTGTGCATCAGTCTGCTTGTGTTTGTGTGTGTTAGAGACCTACTTCTAAGAGTGTCGGCATTGGTTTAAAACCGAAGGGTATGTCTCGTTTGAAACACAAATTAAGCTGGTAGCTCTATATATGTTCGTCCAATGAAATTTGAACTAACTAAACTAACCCACTTAGAGTTGACATGAGGAACTTGAAAGGATAACCAGGAAACAAGACTTTCCTTTTTCACATGCAATAAAATAATTTTCAAATGAGCTTCATTTTACAAAAAATGATATTACATGAAACAATCTTATTAGATGGTTTTGAAAACTATTGTACAAATAGAATGATCATTATAAGTAAGAAAAATTTGAGGGCGCAAAACATTAGGTTAGGAACTTGACTTTTTTTTTTCCTTTCGAACCCCACAATACCATCTAAAAGGTTAATCTAATGAGCGTAACCACTAGTAATGACTTTCATTTATCAGTTTATGTGAGGGGTTTAAAATATATCATGTATTCATGTCATATAACAATTATTTATTGTGCTATAATACAGGATGCTACTTTCATTATCTGATCACCGATAAACAAACCCCAACGGTATTCACAGTGAAAACACATGTTATCAGGACCTCTTGTCAGCACCTGCCTGACAGCTGAGTGCCCCTGGTGCCCCACGGGAATACTCCGTAAAAGTTGGTTTTATCATCAGCAGATTCGAGTCACATCTCTAGTGAGCGTGCCGATTGAGAGTTTGCATTGTATAACAGATAAAAATAAGCAAGAAAAGGGCTACAAAAATACCCGAACATGAGACAGGAGTGAAAGTAATATAATATCAGTAAATTTCTCCTTTCACTCCTGCACAGCAAAGATGCAGTTTTGAGGGTCAAACAGCAGTATTTTTTGCTGACTGGTCCAAAGTGCGGAAATTACTCATTAGTGTACACTAAGTCTGCATTAGGCAGGTTGTTAGCCTTTGTGTGATCAGTACATTTTTTACTTTCATTCCCACTCACAGTTGCACTGCTTTGACTTTGAGGGTCAAGCTGCAGCATTATTTGCTGCAGATCACAATATAGAGTTAAAACTGTCGCAAATCAATTATTTTCAAAAGAAAATTTCAAACCTACCCCCCTGAAACTCCCAAGATTTTTTTTTACTTCAGGAGGGGCATGGTCAAAAGAGCGGAAAATACTACGCAAGGCTCAATGTGATAAAGGTCCATTATAAACCATCAAATATTTTAACAATTAATTTGCGATGGAAATGAAGTCAATATTCGTGTTCAACGCATCAATATATATGTTAGAAGTAAAAAATGGACACAAAGTTAAACGTGGGCTGCGTGTCTATTTGAACATGACGACGTGTGTCCTTCAACTATAGCATGAATGCGAGTAACATACATTGTGGGGGTTTTTCTTTTTGAGAATAGAATGACATGCTTCTGTTTCTTTTTGGACCAATGCATCTTTGCAGTTTGCATAAAATTGCTGTGACCGGGAAATGTGGGATCAGCGTTGGAGGTTGCTGACAAAAATTATCTACCGGAATTGACCCTGGGGGGGGGGGGGGGCAGGGCTGAGGCTCCACAGGACGTGTCCGTGTCCAAATAGTCACAACGTGAAACGTGAGGGAAAGTAAAAGAATACCTGAAAGGGCCCTAATTATTTTTTTTATCATCAATCAATAAATATTGTCTTTTGGTTTAAAATAGATAAAATGAACAAGAAAAAGGTTTGGCCTTTATGAGCCTATACACACACTACGGTACAGTCAGTACAGTAGATCTACTGGCGATTTTGTAGTTTCGTTCATTAAAGTCAAGAGCAAGGGGGTTTCAGGGGGGGGCCCCCTGACCTAATAAAAAGGCAAGCGTTATTTGCAACGCCACGTTCTGAATAGCTCCCGTGCTATTTGCAACGCCGCGTTCTGAATAGCTCCCGTGCTATATGAAACGCCAGTACAGTGGAGTCCACTTATAACGAGTCCGGAAAAAACGAGAAGTCTGTAATAAAGACATTATTCTAAAACCCCGTTTTTTTCTCTTCTTTGTAAATAAAATACTGCTATAGTGCAATCAGACAAACATGCGAGTCGGCTATAGCGGAATATTGCTGCTGCTGTGCACAGTGCATAGGCCAATTATACATAATTAAAAAGCCTCGCCAGTTGAGAAACTTGTTGGTGATCTAGCGAAACAAAGAAAGGAGAGCCAATGTGTGTCAACAATGAAGGCCAGAGCGACTGAGTAGGGAGGTTGTGGTATGCGCAGACAAGCAGAACGCATCGTGTGATAGGCCAGTGTAAGCCTAGTTTAGATTATCAAGGCCTACCATGCCTCTCACTTCTCCGATGCGGGGATGGAGAGGTCACAGCAATGTGATGGGTGGAGGGAATGAGTGACGTGCGCAAGCTGACGGAATGCACTACATGGTGTGGTGGGGTGGGGGAAAACACAGCGGGCGAGTTAGCCCAGAGCCCTTTCTTTCTGATCGCCAACGCCGAGCTGTCAGTCAACACCGCTAGATCTAGCCCTAGAGAAAGAAACCTGATTCGATTTTTGATCAAGTAAGACCCAAAGGTCATGTTGAAACCAAATCATCATCAGGGGAGATATCAAAAAGAAATAAACAGAACCGTAAAATCATAGATTTGGCCTACTTTAGAGTTTCCCTTGAATTTATTACTGGATCCCTTACAGCGAGAATCCTGCTATAACGGACATTTTGTTCCTGTCCCCTCCCTCTCGTTATAACAGGATTCCACTGTACTAGATCTAGATCTAGATGTAGTAGCCATCGTTTCTACATGATAATATTGTAGTTCTGCCTGAACTGTGGAAGCTTTCTCAGTTTTTTGATAAACCTCCTACGATTTTACTCCTTTTTTTATGACGTTGTCTTATAATTCCGATCAATATTGGGTAGATCTAGGATCTAGAAAAATCTAGATCTAGATTAGAACTAACAATTGTTTCTGACAGTTTGCACAAAAGTAGACGTCTTGTTCATCTCTCATAATCATAATCATCTGAGTTAGAGTTTGAGCAAGTTTAAGTTGAAAGTTGCTTGGATAACAATAACAAGACGGTGCAACTCGAACTTTAAATTAGGCCTACAGAACGTATACAAGCTGTCTACTGTCTACGTTCTCTACGTCTAATGTTCAGTGCTTCCAAGCGTGGCATCGAATCCCAGTCCCGAAAGGGTTTTTTTCCCCCTTCTCCTGAGCCTA